ACCCATGAACCAATAACTTAACCCCAAAACTAAGATGGTACCAGTAACTTGCATTAAGAATCACTTATGTAATTCTCTCCTATCCTGTCTCCCTTTCTATTGGAGTCATCATTGGGTTTTTTAAAAACTATTTTATAGTTTTTAATAGTTGTATTACATGCATGAATTCTCTCTGTCACAAATGCACATTAGTGCTTAAAAGTATATTATATTGTTTTGCCTGTTTTTTTAAATTTCAAAATATTAAGGGGATACAAATGTTTTAGGTTATACAGATCACTTTTGTAATGCTTGCATTCCAGCTATAGGTGTACCAATCACCTAGATAGTGTTCGTTGTACCCATGAGGTAGGTTTATTCCCCTCCCCACCTCACCCCTTCTCCTTGGTTGATTTCCACTGAGCTTTATGCCCCTCTGTGCACATGTGTGCTCATTGGTTAGTTCCGATTTAATAGTTGTTAGTTTGGCTTAGGGTGGGAACCCGAAAAGTATGTATAGGACGTAATGTGGTTAATGGAAAATTTAGATAGTGATCATAAAGTATGTGAAACAAAAGCCGCAGGAATCTGGGGAGAGTCCAGAGGTTATAAATCTAACTCTGACCTCAGGCAGTTATCCCCGCTGATGAGGATGAAGTTACTCCCTTCTTCCATCTCTGCAGATGTTGCTCACTCCCCCCAGAAAAACCCTGTATAAGCCAAGGCTTTCCCCTCCCTCAGGGTGGATGCTCCTTTGATCTCCACTCATCTGTACCCAGAAGGTCAAATAAATAGCATTTTTGATACCATGAGGCTTGATGTGTCTCCCTCTTGGCTCCAGACCTAACAATAATGAGTACATGTGTTTGTATCTCCATTCTTGAGATACCTCCCTTAGGAGAATAGTTTCAAGTTCCATCCAGGTTGTTGCAAAGGTATTAATTCACCTTTTCTATTGCTCAGTAATACTCTGTGCTATACATATAACAGATTTTATTAATCTCATGAATCGATGGGCACTCGTGTTGATTCCACACCTTTGCAATTGTGAATTATGCTGCAACAAATAAATACTCAAGTGCAGGCGTCTTTTTGATGAGAAGTCTTCTTTTCCCTTGGGTAGATACCCAGTAGTGGGATTGGTGGATCAAATGGTAAGTCTACTTTTAGTTCTTTAGGAACTATAGGAATCTCCGTACTGTTTTCTGTAAAGGTTGTACTAATTGCAGTCCCACCAACAGTATATAAGCATTCCTTTCTCTCTGCATCCATTTTAGCATCTATTGTTTTGGGACTTTTTAATAAAAGCCATTCTAACTGGATGATAATGCTTATTTTTTGAACTTTTTGAAACAGTATACTGCATAGGGTATTCTAGGACTTTTGTCCTTTAGCTTTGTTTTTCTAAGATTCATTCAGGTTGTTGATTTAGCTATAGTTTCATTCTTATTACTACGTAATAATTCATTCATGTAAATCTAACACAATTTATCCATTCCCCTATTCATGGACATTTGGGATACTCCAGTATTTTTTGGCTATTGAAACAGTGCTACTATGAACATTTGTGGATATGTCTCCTGGTACATATGTATAAGTTTCTCTATAGTATATGCTTAGAATTGTTATGTCAAACTGGTTTTAGTGTTTGTACTAATTTATTCTTACAGCAGCCGTATATAATATCTACATCTTTTTAATCCTACTAGTACTGGATAATTTTGGATGCCTTTATTTTTGCCAATCTGGTGGCTTGAAATGGTATTTCATTGTGGTCTTAATCAGCATTTAAAGATGTTTTTAAAGACAGGGTCTCATATGTTACCCAGGCTGGACTCAAAACTCCTGGGCTCAAGCTCAGCCTCCTGAGTAGCTGGGACTACAGGCATGCACCACTGCTCCTGGGTGTTTTTTATTATTATTATTACTAATGAGACTGAACATCATCCTTCCATATGTTTATGGGCCATTCTTGCTTTTTCAATTGGAAAGACTACAATGAAGCAGATGTGGCCCAAGCACAGTGAGGGAGAGGGAGAGAGGCAGGATATGAGGCTCGAGGTTTACTGGGTAGAGGTGGACTAGATAAATGAGCCTTGTGAGCCATGAAAATAACTAGATCACTCTGGCTGCTCGTGGCTTTCAGAGAATAGACAACAATGGAGGAAGACTTAAAGAGACAAGCTAGAAAGCAGTTGCAGGAGGCTAATGGTACTGCTCAAAAGTGGTAGCAGGTTTTGAGAGGCAATTGTTACTGATCTAATCTATAATTAGCTTTAGTTCTATAAAAGTTATTTATGTATTTTTCTAGAAGAGCTGCATATTTTTCTTTAAATTTTAGGTACATATTCACTTATTTTTTTCCTAAACATGCTTTGAAGTTCCAGAACTTTAATAATTTTTTTCATAGATTCAATAGCAATTTCATAGCAAAATTTTTTAAATGTGTTATATTTATTCTTAAAAATGTAATGATGGTTTTTCTATTGCCAAAGATTTGAGGATTAATTGCTAGTGTAATAATTTTAGCAACATTGTATTTGAAGACCTTTTATGAACTCAGCAGCTGTGGTTACTTACATTCAGCAGCTGCGGTTATCCTGACTCAAATGTTTTTTCATCAGTTATTAGAGAAGTCACAAGTTCCTGATAAATTCATTTTTGAAATCAGGAAGCATGAGTTACTCTTTTCTCTCAAATACCCTTCTATTTGAATATATTAATATTAACCCATATTTCAATAGCGTATTTATTAGGCACAACTTTGCCAATAGCACCATTAGCCAAAAAAGATAATATATTTATACTTTATACACAGTATAATATAATAACTTCTGACTTCTAATTGTAGGCAAATCTGAGTTTAAATAGTTTTCACATTTTAAGCTCTAAAACCATTTAAAGACAGAAGCAAGTAGATTGAAGGGCATTATCAGTCTACTTAACTTTGTAATATACACAATGATTTTATATTCCTTTTGAATATTTATGTGGAAATAATAAATTTACTAATAATATAAACACTTTTTTTGCTTTTGTTAGGTTATCATTTGGTAAAAAATGAAAGTGTCTCTTATTTTGAAAGTGGCAATTAAAGAGAACTTGTCTTACATTTTCTTTGTGAATTATATTTCATGATAATGAAAGAAAAGTCAATAAAGGAATACTCTTCTTTATTGAATAATTCTAGATAATAAGGAAGGAATGATGGAATTTGAAAAATCCTGATTTTATAAGCCCTAATAAAATAATTGATTCAGATGATTATTATCAAAAATTGAACCCATTCGAGATGAAAGGTTCATGGGGAAATTTGCAAGAGAGGGATAAGCTGTCACCATTTATACCCAGTGATTAATCTTTGAATCACAAAGAGGAGACATTCAGACATAATGTGCCTCCTGATGTGATGCAATATAAAGTATACTTTCTAAAAGTATTCTTTCATAAAAATGAACCTGAACCTAATCAGCTGGTATACATTTTATTCTTAAAATAGTTTTTAACATCATGTATAAAGAATATTTATACCTTTTTTCCTTTAGATATCTCTTTGCATTCTTATTTGTTTTATTTCATGGTTGAGAAATTTAAAACACAAATAAGTGATAGCACATCTTACCAGAGTTAAAATAGCACTTCTGACTACCAACTAGTGGTGTTATATAGTGTAGCAAAGCTGATAAATTAGGTGCTGTTGTAGGGTTCAGCTAGAGCAAATGAAAATAATTTATCAGAAAAACAGAGAAAATCAAACACTGAATCACCACAATTTTTTAAGACTAGAGAATCAATCAAAAGCTATAGAAGTAACTTGAGCTTAACAGCATGATTGTGGATGTTAAACAATTAAGTAGTACATTCATTCTGAAAGATTTATGGCCCTTATTTTATTACAAACTTTAATATAGAACCTCACAAAATACGAATTATAGCCCAATATGTTAAAAAAAGGTAAAACAACTCATATCTCTTAAAAAAATAAAAACAGAGAAGCAGTCAACATGTTGTAAATGTTGAAGTTTAACATACTGGCTTGGGAAAAACATACATGTTTTTGGTTTTATTTTATGTTGGACAATGAAATAGCAAAATTTCAATATTTAATTGCAATATCATAAAGAACAATCAGTGGATACCTTACTGACTTTATACGTATAAACTTCCCCCCCCCACACACATCAATATCTATATTCCAATACTTTATATACTTGATATTAATAATATACTGGATCATCCTTAGCAAAAGATTAAGAAGGTTAATTAATATTATTAAAATGGGGGCCATTAAACACTGTTTTAGAAAAGAAAATGTAAGTGAATTGGTTTTGATGAGATTCAGGATAAAGAAGCTGATTATAAGGAATTTATAGAAGTGAAAGTCCTAAATAGTGAATAAATTATTTACCTTGCCTCATTTGGATTAATTGATCTATGTGTCTTTCATGGGAGCTTTGCATGTAGAAGAAACACTGAAATTACAACCAAGTTAATATAGAGCATTAAAACTTAGATTTATGAATAATTTTTATCAACCAATAATTATTGCTTTTATCATTTTATAATGTTTGCTATGCTATTACCTATCTTGTCATTTTGTATTTCTAAAAAGGCTATCTTTAATTTGTCAGCATTTTGAGATTATGAAATTTAAATAAATCATACTGAAAAATATTCCAGATTTCAGAAATGAACAAATAGAGACACCAAGAGGTTGCTAATTATGGGTTAATTAGAGCTTTCTGAATAAAGAAGCAGATTTTCCAATAAGAGCCATTGGTCACAATATAAAATTTTTATAATGGTTTTTGTCAACTTTAAGTTCTTTTGTTTTTTTAATCTCTTAAATATTACAAACCGGTAAAATAAGAAGCCAGTTGAACAGAGGTAATAGTATTTAAAATGTTTATAGTACTTTTGGTCTTTATTTTTAGAAAATATGACTGTTTATGTACCTATGTTCTTTCTCCTTGTTTGACTGAAGTTGTTTTCATTTATTGCTACTTGTTTTCTTCATTCAGGTTATTTCACAATTGAGGATCTTGGGCAGATCAGTAACTGCTGGTTGCAAATTTGATAGAGAAATCTGGTCTAATGAACTTTCTCCTGTCCTCAATCTCTGGAAGAAACTAAACCAGGTTAGTACTGGAATGTTCTGATTCTTCTTTTTTTTTTCCCTTTTCTTTTTTCTGGCATCATAAACATGTGTTCCCTGCTTCTGCCCGTTTCATACAAGTAATCATGTTGCACATATTTCTAACTATGAAGTCGTGGCCTATGATTTCTTTTCTTCATACTAATTCATATTGATGTTCGTATTCTTTGCTCTCTTTTTTCTTAAATCAATTTTGGCTTATCTTTAAATGAATGACCAAATTTACCTAGATTTTCAGTTCTCTCCTTCAGCATTTCATTCTTTGTCTTGATGCTTAGTAGGGTTCAGCTTCTTATAACAGTTTCAGAGCCCAATTTCCAACTTTTTAATGACATTGGCTGTTTTAAATTTTTTAATGATTTTTCAGGTACATGCAGTTCTTAAAATGTATACACATGTATGACTACATAAATATTCATATGTGTGTATTATGTATTATAGCTGTTCTGAGAATAATGTAATATTATTTTCAGTTTTTACTTAGAGAATATAATAGAAATTTAATGATTTGAATAATTAACTAAGTTTACCCCTTATTAAATAGCAAACCAATAGTAAAATTCTAATTATTGCAAAGATCTCATCTTACATTTTAGAGACATAATCTAGTTATCTATTGGATACTTTCCTTCTCTGTGAAATAACGGTGAGCTTGTTTAACCCAATTCCAGAGTTTTGGTAAGATTGACATCAACTTCATAATTTTATCTCCTAATTCCTTATAATTTTCTCTGTTTCTTTTTCTGAATTTGCACTGGGCATTTGCTTTTACCCTACATTAGGTTTGGCCTTAAAGCACTTCTAGCTCTATTTTTCATAAGAAATCCAGTCATATGATTTTGTAGTTTTTATGAACGTTTGTGAATTTGTAAGAAACAATTCACATTGCTGAGTATGTGGTCTTCTTTTAACTCACTTTCCTTTAAAAATATATTCTTTGAAATTTTGACACATTCTAAAGTTCCCACAGTTGACTTTGGCCTCTGTGTGAAGTTTCTGGGAGGCGTCATTTAGTCTTACTTGCCTTATCTGCTTCTCTTCATCTGTCCCATCTGATTTTATTACTAGCCTCCCTCCCTCATTGCCAACACACATACATAACTGCTTTGTAATTCTGAGAATTTTTTTTCTATTATATAAAGAGGACCATATATATGATTTCAAAGGCTTACATATAAATTATTTGCCTTCTAAGACCCAACCCAATGTTAGAAACTCAAATTAGTTTTCTGCCTTTCCTCAAATCCTTATTTGAAATATAAATGTAGTCCATTACTAGTTCTCTGAGGTTGAATTTATGCCACAATAAACCCCCTAATTACCTGATTCCTACATATAGCAGAAAAAAGGGTAGAGCCTAGGAAGAATACAGTATCATTGGAACATTGAGGTAAGTAGTGGGCAGAAGAAGCACAGATTATAGCATATATTGCTCAAAGATTTTATTTTAGGGGAAGCACCTTGGGAGAAGTCAGATTGATAAACTCAGTAGACTCTCCAAATGAATAGTCATTCTGAAGCAAGTAGGCAGAGAGGAAGGAAACCTGGGATCAGGAATCAGGATACTAAGCTAAAGAAAAGTGTCAAAGGGAAGGGTAAAAGGTAGCTTTTGGAGTAATTTTCTGGATCCATTGGGGTGTGGGTACTTTGGCTTTTATTTTTCCTATTGAAATAGACAGGTGTGTTCTCGTATTAAATCTGGGCTCCTCATTTTTTTCAATTCATTCTCCATATTTTTCTTAATTATCTTTCTGAATCATATAATTCACCTCTTTGAAAACTCATTACTTAGGAATAACATAAAATGCCAACTCCTTGGCGTGGGCATTTGTAGTCTCATCCCAGGCTGGCTGGCTATCTTCATTCTGACTTCCTTGTAACAGACATTCCATGTTTTTGTTGTACCAGAATACTTATTGTTTTCTTGTTTGTTGTTGTTTAACATGCCAGGCCTGTTTTAAACATTTTTATTTGTTCTTGTGGTTCCCTCTGCATAGGTTTACCTTCTTCTCAATTCAATTAAATATTTTTAAAAATAATTCTTAATGGTCTAACAAAATGTGCTTTATCTCCATAGCTTTCCAGAGCCATGTATTATAAATCCTGTGGTAACAAATGATGAGTATATTATTGCCTTGTCCTTCAGAAGCTCACAAAATATTTAACATGTTGGTTCACAGAAATGGTATATGTAAAAAGGATCACTTTAACTCTATTTGCATCTTTTTCTTAGTATTATGAAACCTTTTTATTACTCTTGAAAATTCACCTTTCCTTGATTTTTAATTTAGAAGTTATTTCTTAATATGAAGCAATGTGGGAGTTACAGAATTGCTAATTGAAAAAGATTTTGATTTTCATTCTCAAGATAAACCTCTTAATTAAGTATTGTTATATTTTTAACATAAAGAACACATTTTTATTTTTGAGGATTGTGAGATCATTTGTCATGAATTATTTTGCTTCCTGTTCAAGGATCAAATAAATGCAGTTTGTTAAAGTTCCCACTAGATGATATATTTTTATTCCATTGGAGGTGGCAATGGAGGTTTCTGGAGATTTCTAACAATATGTATTAATAAAACTCAGAAATTTTAACTCTCATTTCTATTGGGCCAAACAAGTTAGGAACCCTCAAAAATACTATAAGTACTTATGTTCAGACAAAGGTCAAAAATACATTTGTTGATCAAATTAAAACTGGGAAAATGTGTCAGTGAGATTAATTCATTGTTTAGATCTGGGCTATAGGTTTCCAACCTTCAACCTTGTTTGATAGTCAAAGGAGGGATACTGAGGTGGCAAAGCTAAATAGATTTAGCACCACAATCCTTTATCATATAGGGAAATTTTATTCTCTTTCACCTTCAAAAGGTGTGAAAATGCAAAGAAATTATATTCTATAATGTTCCAGTCCTGTATTACCTTTGGTTTTTGTGTGTTTCAGCTATGGTCAGCTTGGTTGAAACTAGAGAAATAAGGAAGAGGAGCTCATGTATTTTGGGTTAATCTGTAGCTTTTAGGCATCATAACCTAGTTTGATCATCTTTAACAGAAGCTGATAAAAACAAATGCTTCATTTTTGTGAAGTAGTTTTGAATGCAGGACAGTAGAACTGGGAACAAAGTTCACATTTTAAGAATGAAAAATATTTAAAATTTTGTAGATATGAAACATGTATGAACTTCCATTTTTGTAAAATATAGTCATGGAACCAAGGGCAACTGGATAGCCAGTATCTTCTCAGCTGATCACTTTTCATTACTAACACAGCATTAAAGTGATATCTTTGGTGTTTAGAATGGCAAATGCCAAGTTCATAGGAGTATGTGTGTGTTTATGTGTGTGCCACGTGTATGTGTGAGAGAAATTGGGAGGGGAAGAGAGCAAGAGAGCCAAGATTAAAAACAGGCTTTGTAGTCTACTATATTCACACATTTTAAAGTAAAATACTAGAAAATAAAGCAAGAGGTATAAGGACTCAGATAAAAGTCCATTTATAAATGAACTTTGATGCAGAAATGTGAATGATTCTACTAGGAGAGAAAAATTGTTCCCACTTTTTCTACTGTAAGAATGAAACTACTGTTTTTCATGCAATTTTTAGTTTAATATACTTTGTCATTATTATAAAACTGTATTGGTAAGATAAAACAAAGTATTACTAAAATAAGACAGAAATAAGATAGTTTACCATTCATCTTAATGCACTATAATGTAATAAAGCATGGACTATGGAACTCCACTGCTTGGCTTAACCACTTACAGATGTGACTGTGCCCATTTTATTTCATCTCTTTCCTTAATTGCCTGGTCTGTGAAATGGGGATAATAATAGATTGTTATATTGACTAGATTAGTTAATACTTGTAAAGCTCTTAGAACTATACCTAGCCCAATGTTAAGTGCTGAATAAATATTAGCTATTATTAATATATATTTTAAAGATAATATTAGGATGAAGTTGCTCTAAGGTCCCTTTATATTCTGGAAATTTGATATCTCTTTAATAATGAATCTAGAAGAGTAGCATAATTTTTCTAATTATCTTAAAGATGTAATTAACAATGAACCTTATTCCAATTAGGTAAAAAAAGAAATAGGTCTGTAGAGAAATGTAGCCTAGTTTAATATAATGTATTACTTTAGAATCCTAATTGCACATTAAGGAAGTTTTCAATTGACTACTAATGAAATTGTTTTAAATGAATTACTTCTCTAAGGAGAATAATGATCATTATATATTTTAACAAATGATTAATATATGAGTTCTGGATAAACATTACTTTTAGTGTTTTTCTGTTGTGTTTCAAATGTACAATATTTCATTATATACATTTATATGTGTCTGAATGTGGATGTGTGTATACTGCTTTATTAGACTTGAGGTTTTTTAAATGTTGCATGATGTTTATAACTATTATTGTTAGAATACTTGTTAGTTTCAGTATTTTCCCACTAAAAAAATCTAGTTTTATCTTTAGTTTTTAAAAAATTTGGTTGTTACAGTTGTTACTTTATTTGATGCATTATAATTATAACTATTTATGGGGTACAATTTGAAGATTCAATATATGTATGTGTTTTATAACGATCAAGTCAGTAGTTAGCATATCCATCAGCTCATGCATTTATGATTTCTTTATGGTGAGAATATTTAAAAGCCTCTCTTCTAGCTATTTTGTAATGTACAGTATCTTATTGTAAACCATAGACATCCTATGGTGCAATCGAACACCATAACTTCTGTCTAATTGTACTTTTCTACCCATTGACCAACCTCTCTCCCTCCACCCCTCCCCTCTTTCCGCTCCCCTCCCCTCTCTCCCCTCCCCTCTATTATCATTGGTGACCACTGTTCTACTTTCCTCTGCTTCTAAGATAACCAACTCTTTTTTTTTTTTTTTTAATATTCCACGTGAGTTGAGAACATGAGATATTTATCTTTCTGTGTCTGGTTTATTTCACTTAACATGATGTCTT